AATTCAAGAATACAGAATTATCACAATTTATAGGATATCAATTCACAAATAAACATTTCACAACGCTATAATCAATTTATATAAGAGTTTTTCTATACATATTAAATTGGCAATTATGCTAAAATGCCTTTATAAACTATTACCTTTCTAAATTTGAGCCCAAAATATTTGATTGGTTATTTTTGAAATGTTATTGAAAGTGATTGTTATTAATGGTTTCAGTGAAATTTATATTAATGATTTCAGTGATATGTTGAGTACATGATATTGCTGCTTTCGAATGTTTAAAGAGATTTAGAAATAATTTAAACATGCAAGTGGACTCATCTGGTTCGTTGGTAAGGTATAAGTGGACCTATCCGGGACGGCGGTAGGGATTAAGTGGACCTATCTGGGACGCCGATAGGGATTAAGTGGACCCATCAGGACGCTGATGGGGTATATAAGTGACCTACTTGGGACGCCAGTAGGGTAATTTTGTGGAATCTTTTGAATTATGCCCTGACGATAAAATGTTATATGCATTTCAATCATTTGGATTATGTTTAATTGTGTATTTTTGAAAGTGAAATTGTTATCTATAAATGCTTGTGCTCGTATTGTTTTTAATTGACCTCCATTTTGAAAGTTTGTTTATATCTTTCTTCGATGATTATTTTTAGGATTATGATGATCACCTACTGAGTAGCCAAACTCATCAAATTATGGTAAACATTTTTTCAGGATAAATGCGGATTCATCTTGAGTGCTAGTCGGGATCAACATTAGAAGATATTCTAATTGTGCTTAAACTTTCTTTTGTTACTTTTTAAGAATTCGCCACTGTAAATTTGTCTTAAAAAGAGATGTATATATATGTTTTGACTGTCACATCTCAAGAATATCAGTATTGTAAATGCTTGGGGTGTGACACTAATGAACCTAAGAGGGAGGGCTATTTACTATGTTACTCATTTGTTTATTTAATTTCCAAGAGTTCATCAAAATGCAAGCATAATACACATCATCACTAGTAGAAAATGGATAAAATGTTAAATAAAAAAAAATGAGTTAGACCTAAAAAATTTTCCCAAAATTTGACAATATTTGCCCACTTGATATAGTGATCCAAATCGTTAGAATGGAGCATAATCGTTAAGCTAACTTATGCACTAGAAAGGATTTTACTTCATGGCAAGTTAAAAGGAGCGAAAACCTACAAGCCAAAAGATTTTATACTCCTCTGGAGTAATATTGTCTATATACTCCCTCAAGCAAAACTTTTATTCGAAATGTTTTGGGGATGTAATATCTATAACCTAATCACCATCCACAAAGGAAAACAAAAAACAAAAGAAATTAACTCTTACTCTCAACTTTTCTGAAAAGATTTAACGATTGTACAATAATCGTCCAATTTTGGAGGGAAGACCTAGATGTTGAAGAACAAAAAATTCAAATTTTTTGCATTGAAAATAATCAAAACAATTCTCAAGTGAATTATCTGAACGAGGGAGTAGATGTACACTACGCTGCTGCGGGAGCATAGTCCAAGCGTTCCACAACCTAGAAAAGAACACAGTAGCCATCAAAATACAAATTTAGGTAAAGACAAGAGACGAATTACTGCATACTCCACGTTTCAAATAAACTCTGAAAATCTCTGCAAACCGTAGTCTTACTTTGACAAGGCAATGCATTCACTTGTCTTATTTGTTAGAAACAGAAAAAGAAGAGTAGCCCTAAACTTAGTCAATGAGAAAGTATCAATTAATACCTTTTTCAATAACATCTGGCAATTTCTAGAAAGTAGAAAGTAATAACCATTGACTGATTTTAGCATTAAAATTACTTCATCTCTTCTCATTTGAAAAAGATGATCTGTACAAACGCATGCCTCAAATGAATTACTGAAATGCCCCTCTTCTTTCTCATCTTTAAGAATACTAGCCAAAAATTAATTGACGTTTCCAAAATAGTAATAGGGAATATCTGTTTATTTTCCAAAATTAAAGTTCATTCACTCATGAAAATAAATGCTTAAGTAATTAAATGAGGGGAACACCTAGACCTTAATTAGAAAGCATTGTCATGAACCTGAACTTAATTTAAACAAACCTTAACATGATTATTATATAATACCATAGTCTAAAATTTGACAGGCTTCCTTTGATTCCTTTTATATAAACTTTCAATAAGTAATAAATGTATGAGAAATTTATCAAGTTACTTAAGAAAGATGAATAATTTAACATCTTACCCATATCTTTTGCTTTCATTTCAAAATACCAAAAAAGTACATGATCTTGGGTTGATTAGTCATAATAAGATAAAAAATTAAATAATTCATTTTTTATAAATGTTTTGATAAATTTTCCAAATTATAGTTGCTTTCCAAGAAAAAAATTATAAGGGCAGTTCATGGATAAGACCATTTCAACACACAAAAGTCTAAGAAAAATTTTTTCTCTATGAAGAGATGATTTTGACAAGTAATCATTATCATTATCATCGCCAGTATTCATTATCCGCAAAAAACCCCAAATTATTACCGAAAAAATAAAACTTTGGGTTTGCAAGGACATAATTGAAAATCAGATATACATATATATATAGGAAAATGTGTCTTAGCAAGACGAACTCCGTTTACCGAGTCATAAGCCGAGGATTTAATTGGTCAGCTCGCATAACGGTTTCCGTCAAAGGAGGTGTGCCAGGAGAACAAAACCCGTTATCTGGACATAATGAAGAAAAACCAGCCCATGATTGCCTCGAATAAGGGGCCGATATTAAACGAAACGTGGCTTCCACCACCCGTTACATGGACTTATTAAAAGAGATGCGCTCGACAAAGAGATGCGGCGGAGATAACGGGCCGATATTAACGAAAACGTGCCATCCAAGCCGACGGAATCAAGCCAGCTCGGCTCGATAGCCTAGCCGGAACTGTCCAGTGCGTCTAAATTCGATTAAATCGGTGGCCACGCGTCCGGCAAGCCCTAGACCCTTTGGGGTCCGTACAATTAGGGCAAGGCCTTCAAATACCCCAGCTTATCCCCACCCTTCTTTCACGTGGTCTCTAAAATAAAAAATTATTTGTATTTTTCTTTTTTAACTTATGATTTATTGACGTGAGTTTCTTTTCCGGCCACTGTTTTGCCGTCTGTCTACGCTTCTCGGTGTATTTTTAGTGTCTCCGTACCTTTCCCGGCGTATTTCCGGCACTTCGTAGTTCTCATTCGTCGGTGCTTCTACGTTCGCTGTCTCCATTTCCGGCGACAGTGCACTTATTCTGCGGCTTAGTTCTTTTGCCGGCGACTTTTTGTCGTTTTTGTACACTTCTCGGTCTATTTTTGTACACTTAACGGCCGGTTTCCCGCAAGTTGCATGAATCATTTGCGGGCGTTTTACTCTTGTATGTCGTTTTTCTGGCTAGTGTTCTCGCACTCTACGCCACTGCCATTTTCCGGCGACTTCTGGTTTTTCCGGCGCTCATACTCTCCATTCCGTTTCATTCGCTGAGCATATCTTCTCTCCGTGTTAGGCGTTTGGTGCTTTGTTTGCTACCGGTTTTCGGTTTCTTAGTTCTGGATTGCTTTCTCCTCTGTTTCCTTATAAACTGCAGTTTCAACTTTCAAGCATTCTTCTCGCTCTGGTTCTGTAAATTTTTTACGGACTGGTATTTTACCATTGCATCTCTTCATTTGCAGCCGCTTTTGTTGCATTTTTATTGTTTGATAGTATTTTGGCCATTAAAGCACCTCCTGAGTTTGTGTGCTGTTTCTCTTGTACATAGCCATGGATACCAAGAGAAAAGCAACGGAAACTGAGGATGAAACAGAAGCAGAAGCCCCTGAATCAAAGCGTCTCCATCCTGTAATCCTTCATTTATTGGAGAACACAGATTCCGGCGACGAGAATCTCGTTCCAATCAATATTCCAACGGAAATGGACTTCATTTCCCTTCTGAAACAAGAAATATCTTTTTCGGCGATAAAACCCGGCGGGGAGACCTCTGTTCCGGTTATTATATCTGGCGAGAAAACGACGGGCTCTGAACAAGTACCATATACCGATCAGAAAGAGGAAGTAAATGTCTTGGAAAAGGAAACAACTATGACTGAACCAGTATTAAAGCCTCTCACTGAACTGACAGATGTGTCAGATCAACGCCGGAATCTTTCAAATGAGACTGGTAAAGTTTCTGATATCGGCGAAAATGCTATTCCAGGCGATGACAGAGCGTCAGATTCCGACAATGGATTGGTGGAAGCTATCAAGGAGGGGTCAGATTTCGGCACGAAACTGACTGATTCAGAGGAGAAATTCGACTCATTGAGCAGGGATATTAAGGGAATAGCTGTCTTCTGTGAAGGGACGCCGCCGGAGTCGTCAGTACGCGCTCGCCAAATTTCTCCGGAAAGCACTTTCCCGTCGACCAAGTCACCGGAATCTTCGGTTGAGGCCACAGAAGTAGACCGAGATATCTCTTTCCTGGCGGCTGCAATGGCGGGAGCTTCAAATGACGTGACTGAAAAACCTCAGGAAAGTGGTTTAACGGCGTCAGAATCCCTGGAATCGTCAACACCGGTACTGATCAGTAGCGATGAAAGCGGTTTATCCGTGACTGGACTAGAGGGCTCCGGTTATCCATTAGGGTACCTTTTAGAAGCTTCAGACGATGAATTAGGGCTTCCTCCCCAGTATGAAGCTTCCATGGACGTGTTGAGGAGCCCCATGGCTGTTTTAGACCAGGAATGGCGGTTTTGCGATGAGATGGACGGAGGTTTGGAGATGTTCAGATACAGTTTCGAGGATGAAATGGCCGGTTTTGAGGGAGAAGATAGCGGTTTTGGCACGCTTTTCGACCACTCTGACCTGATGGGAAGGCAGGAAACCATGCCCGCTCTCTGAGGAAGCGGTTTTGTAACCTGTAAACGCGGTTTTGTAACCCGTAAAAGCGGTTTTGATAACTAAGAACGGCAATAGTGGTTTTTGAACACCAGATAGGCTGAAATGATACGACACTTGTCAATCTCAAGCTATATTTGAAGTTTGAACCTTTTGAAGCTTCGGAGGATTGCTAAATGCACCCAAATAATTGCTATTTCCACCATTGTTCCAGGAAAACCATTAGGTGGAAATAGCAAAACAACGGGTGTAGATAGGAATCCCCAATCTCTCTTGTGAATTGTGTTGCATTAGAATTAATTTTGAAAGTGCGCAAAAAAAACATAGGGTGCGGCCTTTAAATAGAGTCCAAGAATATGGTTTTAATAGTAGAAGGTTTTGTGATAGGCTTAAATTATATTTTCATTTTTAGTTGTAAAATTTAAAATTTCAACAATAGCGTAGATTGAATAGATCTATGAAAACTTGAAATATTGAAGACTGATGATCAAAAAATGAGTTACAACATGCACTATTTATGAAACTTGAAATCCATTTTTTTCTTATGTCCATGCATCTTGACGTGGAGATGATCAATTTGATGATATTTGAGCATCAAAACAACTTCTTCTAGTGAAAGTTTTGAGGTAGTCTCTAATTTGATTGTTTAGAGCTTAAGCTTTATATAAACTTTTTCCAAAAAATAACACCGATTTTTCCAAAAAAATAACACCGATTAGAAAATTTAAAGCTAAAAAAATTATAGGGTGAAAAGATGACTACATAATGTCTTATAATATAAGTGGTCTGTACAGGGCTTTAGACGGCAAAAAAAAAGGCTTTAGACTGTAAAAACAAAATTGAGAGATGTACTAATACAAAAAAATCTTGATGGCCTAAAAGATTATTTCTCTCTAATGAAAATTACGTAAATATTTGTTTTAGTTTTCGTTATTATGAAAATATCAAGTACTTTTCATTATTAATGATATGTTCTTTTATTGGACTTGGTAACAATTTTTATAAAAAAAAAATGAAATTACCTAATTTCGATTTTTCAAAAACTGAAATCAAATAAATTATTCAATAATTGATTTTTATTTTTTTTTGTCTCTTGTAGGTCCTCTGCCTATTCTCTCCTTATCAACTAATCAATTCTCTCTCCGAATTTTTTTTGAACAACCGAATTTATTGATTTTTGTTTTTGACACACTCTCTCTCTATATACCTTTCTTTTTCACCCATAATACCTTTCCTTTTCACTCATACTTTACTTGTATCTTTTCCCTTGAACTCTTCTCTATCTTATCTCCACATTTGGAGATAATAGCCGCCACAAAACCGCTTTCTAAAAAGAAAAAAACTAAAATCTTCTATCTCTCTTTAAAAAAACACCTAAATTATTTTTTCCTCTCTCTTTCCCGCTCTCCCCCTTTTTCTCTAAAACATAAATATTTTAGACAAGGAGCTTTCTCCAATACTGTCTCTCCCACCCTCTCTTTCTCTTCAGAAAAGCCTAGAAAATTTATGTAGAGACTTAACCCTAGCTTTACCCAATACTCTCTCTTTCCAACATACACCCTTTTTTATTCTATATAAAAAACCCTCTATTTAATAAAAAAAACTAGAAATTTTTTACTAAAATTGTAAGTCCTAGCTCGCTCTAAGTGTGAAGACTTTGAAGACCTAGAAAACCTACAAAACATTAGGAAAAATGGAAAACTTCACTGTGTTGATGACCCAACCCATGATGCCCCCTACCTTCAACGCGAGATCTCTTGCCAATTCAAGCTCTTCAAGCTATGGGAATATCCAAACCAGGCTGAGATGAAACTCACCCAAAGAGAACTTGGATAAAGGAGAGAGAGAGATAAAAAAAAATGGGATGAAATTTACCCAAGGTAATTTACCCAAAGAGACCTTGGGTAAAGGAGAGAGAGAGTTAAAAAAATGGGATGAAATTTACCCAACGAGACTTTGGATAAAGGAGAGAGAGAGTTAAAAAAAAAAATGGGTGAAGGAGAGAGTTAAAAAAAGACCTCAACTGAAGGAGGGAGAGAGTTAAAAAAAAAAAATGGGTGAAGAAGAGAGTTAAAAAATATATATTTTTATCCATGTAATGTAGAGAGAGATAGAGAGAATACACAAGGGACCCACAAAGAGAGAAAAAAAAATTTGATTCTTAAATAATCGAAAATTTAAAATTAATTGGCCTGATTTAGGTTTTTGAAAAACTGACAATAGGTAGTTTTTGTCTTTTTTAAAAAAAAAATTTGTGAAATCAAAAAAACGAACATATTAGTAATAACAGAAAGTACTCGATATTTTGGTAATAACATAAACTAAAATGGATATTTATGTAATTTTTCCTAAAACTTAAGAAATAGTGTAGATGAAACAGATCTATGAACGCTTCAAAATCTTAAAAATCAATTTCTAGATACTGCATTATAAGATGCATTATTTTTATGATTTGAGGTCAATTTTTTTTTATATTCATGTATCTCAAGGTCGAAATAATCTGATTTGAGAGTATTTTTGAATCGAAACATCTTGCTCTAGTGAATTTATGTGTTGCGCCTTAGTTTTGGTTGTTTAGAGCCTCAACCTTACATAAATTTTTTTCTTATTGATATATACTAGTTTTAGAGCTTGAAAGCTTAATTTTTTTCACAACTATAATCTTTAAGTCCGAGATGATCTATTTGAAGGTTCAAACAATACTAAAAATGCAATTTTCGACAAGTTTTAAGGTGAGGATTTATTTTATTCCATAGGGTTCCAGCCCTTTTTCAACATTTTCCAATCATAAAATGATGAAAATGAAGAATTCCACTGGGGAGAGAGAGAGATGACACTTCGTGTGAAGGTACGAGAGAGAGAGAGAAGGCGCATTGTGTGAAGACAGGAAAGAGAGAGAGAAGAGATAGAGAGAGAGAGGATACCTAGGAGTAAGGATTTGGAGGGTAATTGGAAGATGGTGTAATGAAGTGTCCCATGGGTGTAACTGTGTAATTGGTTTCAGTTCTTGACTAACTTAGAGGGAGAGAGACGTACGTGATAGCACAAAAATATGGAACCGATAAATATTCCAACCAGGGGTTTAAAAATCGGATCGGTGGCCTAGATCGGATATCCCAAAAATCCATTTGAATCGGTGAATAAGTGATTCGGATCGAAAATCGCCTGAATCGGTATGATTAAACTTTAAAAAAATCCAAAAAAATTATTAAAATTCATTATAAATATTGTTTTTTTGAAATCTAATAAGAAATGAGGGTACTATATTATTAACTTTCATTTTTTACATCAATATGTGAATGTTGAAATGTTCTTTCTCTGTATGAAGTTATGTTACCTATTAAATTCACATCACACAAAAGAAAAATTATAGAATCATGAATGAAATCTATAATCATACATGGACTACAATAAGAATGGATTAAAACGATGAAAAAATGACCACCAAAATCTCGAATCGGTCGGATTTAACCTTAAAATTTTTAAAAAGACTATTAAAAATCATTATAAATATTGTTTTTTAGGAATCTAATAAGAAATGATGATACTACATTAATAACTTTTTATTTTTTTACATCAATATGCAAATATTGAGATGTTTTTTTCCTGTATGCAGATTATTATCAAACAGTTGTTAAAACCTAACTAAATACAATATTATATATTGAAATTAGAATTATTGGTTTATATTTTATTATTTTATCATCATTTTACTATACAAATAATAATAAATTTGAAATTCGTCTTATAATATCATCTAATTTAAAAATATAATTTACAACTACAACAAAAAATAACATATTGCATAATTTCTAATGTAAATAAATGAATATATAAAATACAAGATTTGATTATCATTGTAATTACTATAATTATTAGTTGCAATCATATTTTAATAAAATTAAGAAAATAAATAAAGAAATTCATATTTGCAATGTGAAATAAATGATAAAGCAACTTGAAATAAATTCTAAAGCGGTATGAGCTAATGTTATTTTTCGCTCTTAAAATATTTCATAAACTCGTATTTTTTTTTAATGATCTATAAACCAATATTAGTATTATTTTTTGTTTCTTTTAATATCCTATGAGCTAGTAAAATAATTTCATATAATTATGTTAATTTTTGTAAATTATTATATAAAATTTTATTTTTGTAATTATATACAATTAAATATTAGTTATATGTATTTTATGTTTGTATATTATAAAAATAAAATAAAAATAACTAATCTTAAAAAGATTAAAGATTAAATATTAAAAATAAATAAATAAAATTAATCTTAAAAAATTAAATATTAAAAATAAATAAATATAATTAATCTTAAAAATAACTATAGACCATTTCATTTGTCTTTATATGAGAGAGAAATATTTATTTATAAAACGCACCTATCCCTACCTAATACAAACACTATATATAATTTGGAACAAATTGTAACTATTGTTTACAATAAAGTGCACGCTTTTGCGATAATGTTGCACTATAGAAACAGTCCCACATCGAAGTGATGCGGGACAAAGTAAAAGTATGTAAGCAATTGCAAAACATAGTAAACAGCATGTTGATGGTAGGGCCACGTGTATGGAAGTGTAGCTAACGTTAACAATCACGGTTCCTAACATGTCACGGCTCCTAACATCTCCAAACATCAGTTTGGGAATGGTACTGTTTTTATAGGAACATCTCCTAACATCAGTTTGGGGATGGCACTGTTTCTATATTATTAAAATGGTATAGATGGGTTGGATCTCGTTTTTTCGTTTGAACCGGAACAGCATAGCCTATATCTCGGTTTGGTGATTTTTTGAACCGGAACAACATAGCCTATATCTCGGTTTGGTGATTTTTAAACCACTGGTTCCAACCATGATAGCTTGGATACAAGCACATAAAATACAATCATTTGTTTGTTGCTTTGCCACTGTAGCGCCATGACAGCTTGGATCCAAGCACATAAAATACCATGACAGCTTGGATCCAAGCACATAAAATAAAATACAAACATTTGTTTGTTGCTTTGCCACTCTAGAGAGTGCGGGGCATGTACTCTAGAGAGTGCGGGGCATGTAATGGTAATGCAACAAAAAAAAAAACATGGAACCGATAAGTATTAAACATGGAACCGATAAATATTCCAACCATGAAAGCTTGGACGCAAGCACATATACAAAAATTGCATGAACATTAATATGCACCAGACACTATTATGTACTGTTTCATTTATCAATCAAAATTTCTTTTTCCCTATAGCTGCTATGACCTCTGACCTTTCCTCCTCTCAAATCCACCTCTATGGCTCTGTCCTTTAAACTGATTGCTGTTTCTAGGGTTAGCGTTTCCAAACTTTAGAGGAACTACTTGCTTTATATATGAGGTCCCTGGAAAATGCCTCTTCTCTTTTGGAAGGACTCTGAGCTCTGGCAACCAGTAAGATACATACTCTCCTTCTGGATCATAGGTTTGAGCCTGAGTTTAATGAATGCTATTAGTTCACTTTCAAATCAAAATTGGATTCCAAACACAAATGAAGTGTGATGTGTAACAGCTGCACTAAATCTCAAGTTCAATTCCTACCGCAGAACAAAGCAATTTTTTTTTTTTAAGTCGGAAAAATTAGTCCGCCATTTTTGGTGAGCACATGTCTTCCATTAATCGGACAGTTAATCGAGGCCTTCAAGAGCTCAAATTCATTTTGCTTTTTTGAAATTTTTTATCTTTTAAATAAAAATTGTTGTGCAAAATTTCGGCCAAATGAATCTCTCTAGTTATATTGTTTTCGAGCTAGGCTTATACTATAACTGTATGGTTGTTTCGTTTACAGAATTTATTCCCAAAAAAGAACATAATTCATCTCTGGTCTTACTTGTTTCGGAATACTGAAGTATCGATCTTCTCTTGGATCATTGCCAACACCTGCAAAAAAAGAGATGCGATTAACCCATAAATATGCTTGAATTTAAACAACAAGACACCATCCATAGATGAACAAATTGAATCTAGAAAAGGACATAAAAATTAAACCATCAAACAAATAGAAAGACTTTTTACTTCCATTTCAAACAATTGACTGATTCTAATGGTTATAAATCAAGTATTTGAAGAACATGGTGAGCCACCATTTGATTGACTCGTTCTCCCTTACCAGCTCCATAAGTCCAATTTCCATAATTTGAACATGGGTCATAATCCACAAGGCAAGTTTCAAACCACTCGGCTCCCATGCGCCAGTCCAAACCCATGTCTCGGACCAGAAATGAACAGACAATCTGCACAAACCAAGATTCAAAATGTTGCTAATGCAATTCTTTAAAAAGCATCATGGGAAACAAAATATACCTATCCAACATTTTCAATTCCAAGGGGATTTTAGCTTCAATCTCTCTAAAGGATTATATTTCCCTTGCAACCAAACACAAACATCATGGAGAGAGAGAGAGAGAGAGAGAGAGAGCATCATCCTTTACGGTACCTGCCGTCCTCGGTTAGACATAAAGCCAGTGCTGTTAAGCTCTTTCATGTTTGCATCAATGAGTGGATACCTACGACCAAGCGAATCACTTCAGATCACATGCTTTTAGAAAAAATAGAAAAACAAAAGAAATACTTTCCCTACACACTGATCAATCTCTTTCCGCATGGAAACCTGAAGAAAAGAAGATCAAATAGAAAACAATTCAACAAAACTAGTTTACCCTGTACGACCATCTCGCCATGACTCAAATAAGGCCATGTCTTGGTTCCAGTTAAGCCCTTTCACTCGTCTTGGACCACCTTAACAGAAGAAATTACAAAGATGTTTCAGTAAATTCATAAATAACGGACAACCATGAGATGATAACAAAGGGAATTCTAGGCATACAAAGACAACGAAATATACAATATCACCAGAGAAAGAAGCACATAAAGACATCTAATTTGAACATGGACACAAAGACCAAAGTGATCCTAGTTTCTTATTAACTCCATGCTCCCGCATTCTTCTTACCAAGGTGAAAGATGGAGTTCGCGTATTTAATCGATAAGAACCTGAAATAATCTCTCCATATCAACTCAAACAAAACCCTGCACTAACCCAAAAGAATGAATATCAGAAGAGGAAAACAATAAGAATCTGAATATTATCAAAAGAAACTTAAAGATGGCAACCATTTGATAAATGCAAATACTGAAATTCACTTTGAATTAGCAAATAAATCTTACCAATATGTTGAATCGTTTGCAACTCTTTCTTTTTCATATCTCTTGACCTAATCAATCCGAGCCAACCAATTAGTTAGAATAAAAATCATGTTCAACAATGCTGCTAATAGCATAGAAGAACATTTGAGAGCACTTAAACCTCTTCATATGCATAACGTGGGGATAGGCATCCAAAGGCAAGCCAAGGTGAGAACTTGGTTGAGTAATCTGGTCCTAGCATCGCATTCCTTGTTTCTTTGTACACCCGCAACAGGTCCTGCTAGAAATAGAATAAAAGTGAGATAATATTATTCGAATGCAAACATTATAGACTACAAGTTCCTTTTTCTTGAAAATATTGTACATGTACAAGAATAACACTACAAGTTTCGAAATTATCTTCTGCAAGGAACAAGAATTTGGTGCATACGTTGGGTTACATATTAATAATGCATATCTCGTCATGTACGAATCTCTATGATAAGACATATAAAGACAAGAAGAATTGTCTTGCCTTATTCCAAAAATATTCATTCACTCTAGCCAAAGCTGCATTTTCCCCACCAATAAAATGCATTCCACCATTATGCTGCACACAAAAACAGAGGTTTGAGCATGCTTACCTAGTAACAAAAAATTCTCATTGATAATTGAACTCTCGTGGATTTATTATGCATAAAAAACAAAGGGAAATATACATCTTTTGACAATTAAGCACCAAGGAATATGATCGCAAACTGAGTAAATATACATCCAATCATATTTCATATGAGGTCACAAACATCATTGACTGTATAATTCTTATAAAAACAAGGATCTAGGGTGGAACTTGTGTTTACAAATAGTTGACATTAATTCACATGGCCAAATCTGCCTGAAACATGAGAATTGCCTCCGTCCATTCCCATCATTGGGATTATTAATCAACCTTCTCTAAGTCCCTGATTACCTAATTTTAGGTTCAAAAGTTTCCATATAAAAAGGAAAAATTGAGGAATAAGGAGTTAAGGGATATCATGAATTTGAATAATGAGTTCGCTGATTTCTCATAGGAGTCTACTGTTGAAAGAGTTATCCATCAAAGAGATCAAAAAGCACAAAACAATAAACTTGCATCCAAAATGTTAAATACTTTTTCGTTCTTTTGTTACAATTATTTAGAAAGAAAAGTTGCATGGAAAGGAAAGATATTAACCTGCCTTTTCCATATTAAGGCCAAGCTGGTCGAGAGAAGGAACACATCCCCATCCTCCAATCTCATCCAAACTACCACTAGGAAGAGGGCCAAGTGATGGTGGAATCTTGATGCAACCTCTGATTTTGCATTTAGATTCAACAGACTTCAAGTGTTCCACAAAAAGACCAACTATCAAATGATCAGAGTAAACTAAAATTATCCATAAAAGATATTAAAGGAACGGAAAATTGAGGAAGCATGGGGAACAACTCATGCATTTTTTTTTTCCATAAACACTCGCACACATTTACCTTACGAAATTGGGTATACACGTCTGGTACGTTACTGGACCCAAATGGTAAATCATCTAGATGGTACATAGTACTACCCCAGATAAGTTGCAGCTTTGGAGTTTTAGGAATCGAAGTGGCAATGTCAACTGGTGGCAGAACCACTCTTCGTAGACTGTTGGTAAGAAGTTTTTCAACAAGAATTTCCTCACTGCAGGTTTCTTGATGGGCATAAACCTGAGTTTCAAGAGTAAGCAAGAAATAAATTTCAGTTCATATAAATGCCATGCAACAAATTGGCAGAGCTTTTCCTGGTATATATATATATATATATATACTATATCGTATATATATACTATATACTATATATATATATATATATATATATATATATATATGTCAGGTAGTATTAGAGAATAAAGGACACATGTTTTCATGAAACCAAAATATTGATACATTGACTTTGACTTGGAAGGAATGCCAAATAAGAAACAGAAAAAAATTGATAAAATAATGATGGGGCTCTCATTGTTCTTAAACACTAATGCAGACAATAGGAGGCCCTGAAAATATCCACATCTCCCATATGATACATTTTCACCCATAGAACACAATGAATTTAACATGTACTAAAGAAAGGGTGCAATAACACATTTTCCATAAACACAATTACAGACAAACAGTTCAGCCAACAAAGAAAAAAAAAAAAATTACAGACCAACGGTATTATCTCTTATGCACTTGAGACAAAAAATCACCCAAATAAAAAAAAAGTTTAAATCTTTTAAAGATCCATGTCCAAGGTGGGCTGGATTTTGCCCCTTCATTGCAAAATCACTGTCATAAGCCATGGAAACATTTCGTCCTCGAGAAAAAATTTCAATCACAAAAATTCAATCACAAAAAGAAGAAAGAGATGCATAACTGTATGGGCTCCAAAAGCTTTTGCAATTGACGGAAGGATATCTTCAGGTTTCCCATGTTGTATGAGCAAATTGAGTCCTCTCTTCATCAGATTCTTCTTTAAGTTGGCTAGGCAATCTATCAGAAATTGGGCTCGTAGAACTGCTAAGAGAATTGCAAAGAATGCCATGATTAAAATCATAAGAAAAGGCATTAAACAAAATTCAATTTTGTTGCTCCTTACTCACTCTCTTTCTCTAATATTGACAAGGCATGCCTATTCCCGCCTTGTACCTTGTTGACTCTCAAACATACAACTTAGATTCTGCTAAATTTCATATATTTTTAGATAAAAGCATGAGTAGATACACGAATTTCTTACAGAGTTAGAGAACAAGGTAGAATCACAGTTTGAGAGAGAGTTGTGGAGAGGAGACCATTGAGTGAGACGCGATGGGCTTTGAAAGAGAGACACATGGAGCCATGAGTAAGTCATTGTTAATAAGAGAAGGTGGGCTGAAAATCCAGGTTGGGTACAGAGGAGATAGGGAGAGAGCCATGATTTTGCCACTTTTGGTGGACAAGGATTTCTATCAATCGCCATTGAAAGAACTGTCCCCATTCAATAATTTTAACAATTACATCCTAACATTAACTTGAAAAAAGGTACAATTCTGAATTGTATGTTAAGAAAATCAGCGAATGAATTAATGTGAAATATTTTAAGAGAGAGAGAGAGAGGAGAAAATGCAAAACTGAATACAAACGTTGCACAATTATTCATATAATTCTTGAGAGAAAGAGAGAGGGAGGGAAAGGAAAATGCAGAACTGAAGATTACTCAAGAATTCTTACTACAAATTATGACAGCGAAAACTAAGAGATATAAGGCCACAGACCTCCAGTTTTGGGAAATCCAAAGTAATGGGTGGTCCCAAACAACCGAGGATCGAGACAGTAAACTGGCAATATAGCTTGAGATGACTTCCATGCCTGAAAAAGAGCTTCATTGTCCAAGACCCTTAAATCATTTCGAAACCAGACAATTGCCACACCACTCTCATTTCTTTTGCGATCTCTAGACAGAGAGTATCTTTTAAGAGTTTCATCTGCAACGGCATCCATTTGGTCATCAGAGAACTGGGGTACATCCCAATTTGTTTGAAAATCATATTTGGGCAGAGACACAGGAACACTGGACATGTTTAGGCAATGTTTAGCGAGAGAAAGTGAGAGAAAAACGGGGGTGGGGATGCTGGGTTTGAGAGAAGTGGGGAAGAAGAGCCTTTTGAGTGGGAAGGCAGAGATGGGGGATGAGAGAGAAAGAGTCATAGATAACGAGTACTTGTTAGAGAGAGTGAGGTGGTGAATCGAGCTGGTTTTAGAGAGAGAAAAAGATTAGTGGGAGAAAGAGACCTGGTCACTGCAGTTAGTAATAAATGACGGATATGCCCACAAGCGTTTCTCTTGTAAAGCAGAGCTTTACTGTTAACTCTCATCAGATATTTATGCAGATCATAGGGTTATTTGAGAGATTGCCATCTTTAATTTTGATACACTTCATTATAATGGTAGTTGGGGGAGGGAGACTGTTATCAATAAGAATAAATTAAGAGAGAGAAAGAGACGTGGCCCATCTTGTACCTACGGATAAATTCCCATGACGTGGTGGTCTTAGGGCCCACAGATTGATCACCTCTATATCACACAGCTCCATCTCACTCTCTCTCTCTTCGACCGCTAAAACAAGACATTACTTTTTGTACTTTTTGGACCATTCATTTCAATTATTTAACCATTCATTATTTCCGGAGCTCCAAATTCATGGATTTGAGGTAGAAATGGATTTGCTTTGATTTGGTCTTGAGGCCCTTGAAAACCAGGACCAGCACTTGGCCAACTCACCAAAAAAATTTCCATCCTTAATACAAGCATTTTTAGTAACATGAGAGTTCTGTATCTTGCACTATTATGGAACTTATAACCCTACTTATACATGAAAGAACACGACTGAACAAAGTCCGAGTCTTCCATTCATTCAAGAGGAGAATGTTATAAACACAGCTTTTAGTTTTCTCATTACAAACGTAGTTGCACAGATAATCAGTACGTTATAAGAATGTTAAATAAAACTCAAAAGAAGTCTCCAAATCCATATCCATAGCAAAAATGAATTTCTCAACCTTTCAAATTTCAGGAGGATGGGCACTCTAGGATCAGCAGCTACTGATGATGGTATTTCTGCCCTTTGAGAATTGTCCAAGCACTGAAAATTAACAGCATAAGCATCGATAGAAAGTTAATTGCATCAATTGTGAAAAGCACTCATGAATTAACATACTGCAGATTGAAACACATAAGAAGAAACCCCAAATGATTTGCAAACAAGAAACCTTTTTTTTGCCATTTTTCTGATATAGTTAACATTCTTTGATATTATAGACATAATTAGCCCAATACTGGCTCTTTAAAAGAGAAACATAAATACCAATATGACCCTAGTGTGCATATAAGAACATTACCCCCAATTTATAAGTAACAGCTAACAACATTACAACATGCGGATCCCCCTCTCCATCAATAACCCACCATTTCATCATACAGTAATAACCTTGATGGGCTACGATTTTTAACAGCTAACAACATTACAACATGTGGATCCCCCTCTCCATCAACAACCCACCATTTCATTATACAGTAATAACCTCGATGGACTACGATTTTTCATAATCCATTAAAATATAGTATACTGTCCTTAAAATCAGATATAGACAAACTAGATTCATTCTCATACCGGTAAAGCTGCTCCAAAAGCACAATCAGTGCAACCTGGTGATTCAAAACCATAGTAGACAGCCTTACAGTCACATCAGCGCGTTTACGCAACTTTTGTCCATGCCCATATGGACCACCTATGCAAAATACTAGCACTTCTGATCCCTCCAAAGAAAATCGGAAAGAATACATATTAATAACAGAAAGGAAGGTCAACAATACATATAAAAAGTTAGCAAGTAATTTCATTATTTCTAATTTCTGATTGAACTTCAACTTAAAGTTAGTGAGGTACTGTATTCCTGGCTTCTCCAACCAACTCTGCCATTTTCTCAGATCCAATATCTTGGCCACGTTCATCCAAGACTACAACCTAAAATTCCATCATGAACACGTGAGTAGTGAACTGACGATGGCTGCTATCATGTACAGAACTCTTTGTAAATGATATAAGTAACCAATACTGAATCATAAAACTTCGTGTAAACATGAAATAAATATTTCATAAATAGATGATGTATAGGCTTGGAAGATTATGATGCATGGAAGATGAAATGATGTACAGACAATGAAACTGAATCATGCACATTTATTTAAGTTTAGATGCCTCTAGGCTGAAAGTTTCATAAGAAACTTTTTTCACATAAAGTTTTATAGAATATATTTTTTTGAATGAAGGTCAACTGATTTAACTTCTATATAATTAAGATGTCTACCAACGTGATATGAGATGGAAAAGCTTATGCTTCCATCTTCATATTGACCGATAACTCTCAATAATTATTCATTTGATTTTAGAAACAACAGAGGACTTCTTGCGCAAGTTAACTGCATCATGCCATCAAGCAAGTTGATGGGAATCTTCAATGAGATCAGAAACAATCTTTTTTGTTTCTCTTATAAAAGTTTCTAAATTTTATATTCTCACAAACATTTGTTCGATTCCACTCATGAATATGTAAATTGTAATAATTCGCACTCGAGGAAGCATTCTGAAAATCTGTATGGGATGATAAAAACCCTTAAACAGTATTTCTTATGTTTGGTAATAATATTCTTGATAGATAACATAGAAACCCATATAGTTTTATGACATATGAAGGTTCCAAGGATGTACCCAATCTTCAGGCCTGATGTGTTGCATTATCCTTATGTCTTCGCCGTCAATTTGAGCCTTCACATCACTGGTTGCGATTTAATATTTCGCGGACAGGTACACACCATGAAAGGGAAAATTCCTTGATTAGGACCTATTAATGAATATAAAATATATGCATGCTAGCCAGATATAAAGATAATTGCCTGCCAAAGCCAGAAATAGACGCAAAATTTGGGAACAACTCAAAATCTAGCACTCAAGGGCGCATTATGCTAAGAATATCCAATCACATTTTTATGTTCATAACCAAGATTGTGTATCGCATTTTATATGAACAATCGTTTATAATAGTCATGGCATAAAGCTACACGGTGCCCACTTCACTGCAATCTTGTCCTGCTACAGCCTTAATTACTAAAAAGAAGAGCAAAAGACATGTTTACCTCGTATTTTTTGGATTAGGTTTGAGCTGAACATCATCAACACGACAGTAATACTTGAGCTTTTCAATGTATTCATCAACTAACAATTGAACCCCCTTGGATCTCTTCTTGCCAATGGTCAAAATACGTACTGGAAGAGCTCTCTGCAAAAACCGCAACAAAGTCCGATACTTCAATCAAACTAAACTTATGAAGGGATAAACCAATTGATTGGATGGGGGTTTCGCAAGAACTGGAATTCTTGGTAATGAACTAAATAAATGAGCTACTTATGTGACGATCACTGTAGAAAGTGTAACATCAGATTCCTGTGGCAAGGGGAAAGGAGAATAGGAAATTACAAAACTAAGAAAAGTAAAAACCCAATAAAAAACAGAAGTTAAGATTTCGTAATACCCACCCACAGTTTTCAGTGAAAACATACAAATTGGCTCATGGTTAATATCAATTACCTTGAAAAATTAAATAACAATAAAAAAGCTACGAAGTTGAAGCTTGCAAAATGGTCTCTTTTCTCTAAAAATGTTACCCATGTACATATGTGACAACTTCCTCATCCTTTGTCTATTTAACAAATTTCAACCCAAGTTGGTTATAATTTATTGTCTTGAATAAAAAAATATTGGAGAAGATAAGCTTATGCACCACCATCCATCTCCAAAGCCCTTGATACACTAATTTAAAATGTTTGCTTTTCAAATTAAATCATAGCAGCAAAAATGAAACACGATAAATATTGTTTCAAACTCCAAACAGTGATTAAATCATTAAAAATCATGTCTGACTTGGAATTGGCCAAGTCGGCTTGAAATAGGAAGATGGACGCTTCCTGGTGGAAAATCCTGAGACTGGCAGGATTCCTCTGGTTTTCTAGTCTCCCTATTTAATAACTTTGTAAGCTATAGCCCAATCACCAGAGCCAGACTGTGAAAATCGAAATCGGACCTTGCCAAGTCAAGGCCGATTCTGATTTTCTAAATAATGGTTCTAAATTGAATTCCTCGCAAACGCGCATCTGCTTACTGCTAGCCAAACAAATGCATCTCTCTTGACTTTCGAAGAAGGTGTGTCCAATTCAGTTTCACCGCATATCACAAAAAAGGGGAAAACAAAAACACCGAAGTTGTGGGAACCATAAAATGAGAGTGAAAAAAAGAAGAGAGAATCAAATGAATTCAAAATTCAAAATTAGACATACCACAGATTGACTCAAGTTCTTCAAGCTTCTTCCTGCGCAACCAACGCCAGTAACAGATTCCATTCTCAACAAATTTAAGTAAAAGAAAAAATTAAATATGACATAAAATAAGTTTGAAAATTTTGTGCAAGAGAAGTAACAGTAGAGTATCCTCAAACCAAGTACAACTTCAAAGGAAGAATCATGAAATTACAACAGGTTTAAATCTCTAAATTAGCAAGCTCTAGAGAAGCGTGGACTTGGTAGAGATAGAGAGAGAGAGAGAGAGAGAGAGAGAGAGAGAGAGAGCAATGGAAGTTCATTTGTTGATTTGAGTTACCTGGTGCAGTAGGTGGTGCTGGACTCTTGAAGCACATCGACTGAGAAGAAACTCCCATTTTTCAGTGAGACGGGGAGAGGTTGCGGTTATATACCACGAGTCTGTGGAGAAAGAGGGAGAGGAGATGCCCTCGTAGTGAGTGAGGGGAACACCCTCACACATACTAATGCGGGCGTCCTCTAAAATCCATTTTAAAGAAGGCTGTGCTTTGTATGGAGCCGAGGCTCAAAACAATCAAAGTAAACCGCACCTTCAAATAGTACGGAGAAATGTGATATAGCTTTAAAATATATTTTTGTATTTAATTATAAAATTTTAAAGCTTAAAAAATAGTGTAGATCCAGCCGATCTATAAAACTTGAAAATTGACTGTCCAAAAATGCGTTACAAGATGCATTATTTCCAAAACTTGAAATCTATTCTTTTCTAATGTGCATGAATCTTGATGTCGAGATGATCAATTTGAGGAAATTTGAGTATCAAAACAACCTCTTCAAGTGAAATTTTTGAGGTGGGCTCGAATTTGATCATTTAGATCCTCAGCTCTATATAAACTTTTTCCTTTTATTATATACTTTTATTTTGAACTGCTATTGAAAATAGTTGAAAGTATATAATGAGACAATTTATTTTTGGTACAAGGTGGCCACAATTAATCTTGACCATTGGATGTGAAATTGGGTGGCCGCATTTATTTTATTGACCAAATTCAAAGTTTAAGAGAATTTTTTGTGAATTCTGCGACACACCCAAACTATCAAATTTCACATTGGATGGCTATAAGTAATTGTGACGTCCTTGAAGCAAAGCTAAATGGTGTCATTGTATACCATCCCTATGAAGAAATCGAAATCGGGGAGGGACTCACTATGGTCCGGACTGTGAGTCTCCATGTCCGACTTGGGTGATTCCGAGTCCAAATGGGGAATTTTAATAAGAAAAGTTAAAAATATCATGAAATACATGGGTACTTGAGCAAACATGGTTTTTCGGCCCAGAATCACATGGCCACTAATTTGGTCCGACTCAGGTGAGTTCGAGTCAGACCAGCGATTTTTTTAACATTGATTGTAAATGCAACCCAATCATCCCCATTTCAATCACTCAGATGCTCTTATTGCCTGTATCACGATCGGTTTGCTATAACGTCCGATCTAATTCTGGATCGCATATGTAGAAATGTGGTCCAGCCTGCATGAAACAATTTTCCTTAAATAATGCATGCTATATTTAGGGCTGGTAATGGGCTGGGCTTGCACCGGGTTAGCCCTCCCTTAGGGCTGCCCCATGCCCTAGTACGGGGACGTCAAGGCCTAGGCCTACCTAGAGCATTTTTTTCTTAATTGAAATTCACAGTCTCCACATATTTTCCTAAGTTTCAATTTATAGATATACTAAATCTTAGATATCATCATGCAACATTTTTTATTAGGACTACATGCCATCATAGATGAATAAAAGGAGAATATTTGTAGGTTGTAAGGGAGATCCGTTACTCAGTTAGTGGAGTAATCGTCAAAACGGAGGACGGATCGATATATAAGCAAAATATGCAATGGTTTCGACGACCGTTGGCGTCCTCCAGACAAATCTCATCCTGACTTGCCTGTAAGCCTTTAATGACATGTCTTCCTATGTTGTATTTTTGTTGAAATTGGCTTTTTTATTTGCATAGTAAGTGTGAGATTCAATCCCATGGCCTATGTCTGAGAAGATCTTACTTACAGAGAGCTTTACTGTTTCTCTTCTTTCCATTTAGCAATGGAAACTACTAGCAGTCTACCAATTTAACATGGCCATCTACACCAAGATCGTCCTGAAGTTCCCCTACAAATTCTGGGACCATATTTTTTATATATGCTCATGAGAAACGCGGGTATTATCCTATCTGGTAGGTGAATCAACAATTGCAAACTTTACCTTTTCTGTAATTTTCTATGTTACTGTAGTCTATAGATGTCTTTTATTATGGATAAGTTTCAATAAATGTCAAGAGCATTATGGTTGGATCTGGAGCAATTGGTGACTAATTACCCTGGATCCAATCTTCTTCTAATGAGAGTCACAGATGATGTGTCAAGAAGTATAGAGAAACAATCAGATGAAGAGACAAAAGCTGAAGCCATGGGGGTGTTGAGGAACATGTTTGGAAAGAACATTCCTGATGCAGAGGCTATACTTGTTCCTCGATGGTAGTCTGTTGATGGTTATAGAAATCAGATATTGAGTTTCTTGTATATTACAAATGGCAATTTCTATGTCGTGAAATAGGTTTTACAAGGGCACTTACTCTAATTGGCCAATTGGGGTCAGTCGTTTCGAGTATGACCAAATAATGGTGAGAACTTTTATCTTAGTGATAAAAAGTAAGGATAGGGGTCCAGACTCGCTAAGGTCCAGAGCTCGAGTCAGGTCAGACAACTCAATCGGGTCTAAACAAAAAATAATGATAAAATATTGAAAGGCGGGTAGACTTGTTGGCCTGTTCTGATGTGTTTGGTTCAGTTTCTTAACAGCCTGCCGAATTCATCTGACTCGAGTGAGTCCAAATCAGACTCGCCAAGTTTGTATTCAATGCTATCATACATAAGGAGCCTTGCATGCGTATAAATATGGGTAAGACCACACGTTTTACATTTAGTATTTTGGCTTTGGAAAATACCATATGTATTTTAAAAAACAATGCGTTTTTAATAAATAGAGAGGTAGTCGTATAGTTTAGTCCGACATTGAAGACGAGCGACACTAGAGCGGCTGTTGTATGGGAATTTTTATGCCGAATGTTTATGGAACAAAAGAAAGAGTGTGAATGCATCTGCAGAGCATGTGAAGCATGTGACTTCGTTAGACTTATGATACACCATTTTTACAAGATGTGACTCAGGCGCGTGCATGATCCAACCAACGGCTATGTCACTATTGCTCATATGAATAATCACCTCCAAAAGCCACTAAACACAATAAAATTGGGTTTGAATTTCCCACTTGAATACTCACATTCTCTCTCTCTAACCCGACTACACTCTCTCCCTACCATAAGATAACTCTTATGGTTCATGTGCATAGAACCATGAAGTCTACTGAGACCTTCTATTTTCCTATATCCCAAGGACAACTTTGCGAAGCAAATGTTTTCCAGAAAAAACGCAACCACGTGCCGGAAAATAACGATTTACACCCCCGTTTCACATACTCCATTTCTAACATTATATGATCCATATAAGCCAAATGTATGAGTACTTGAACGAAATTGTCTGTACCCCAAACAATGGAGGGATGTAAAATGTGGGTAATCGACTGTAGGCACCGGTTGGCAAGGTTTACTTCACTGGGGAGCATACCAGTGATCGTTACAATGGTTATGTTCATGGAGCCTATTTAGCTGGTATGTTCAAGCTTCACTTTATTTCCATTCTTCTTATTATGAATGCATGACCTTAAGCAATACTTGTTCATGCTGGTTTTGTTAATTATAGGGATCGATTCGGCAAACATGCATTAAGAAAGGAAACTGCGAGCCCAAGTTTGAGGGAAGAAAGAAGGGTGGCAACAAGGGTGCATGTGTGGGATCGTGCTATCGCTGTTCAACATCGATTATGAAATTTGATATATATTGGCTAATACTTCGTGATATGGTGATTTTTACTAAGTGATCATGGTCGAAATACTGCTGATTTTTTAAATTTATTCGTTGGATGTATAAGATCTCTAATTTGAAAAACTTAAGAAGTATGGTTTCCGAAATGAGATTAATTTGTGGCGGTGGGATTTGGCTAATTGAAATCCAAATCATTGGAAAGGTGCTTGTATACGCACATCACGTGGATGGGATACTTTTCTTTTTTATATTCTTGAGAACTTATAAGAAAAAAAAGCATTTCCTTGGCACATGATCAACGGTGAATCATTAGGTTTGCATGGTCAATGTTGCAATCCCAAGAAACTTACAAGAATACCCATAATGGCTTGGACCTTTATTATTATAATATTATTTCAATGACTAAATATGTTATCATTTAAAAGCAAAATAGTTCCTTTCTTTCTAAAGATGGGAAAACAATCATGTCATTGTGGAAAAGGCCTAGCTGTTGGTTCATCTTAGAAACTTTTGATTAAAGTGGAAAGCAAAGAGCAAAATTGGATCTCACCTCAATCACATCTACACTTTTCAATACTACTTCTGCATAGAAGTAAAAGAAATGGAGTATATATTTGTTTCTTAATTTCCTTATACCAAAAAATATATAATAAAGTTGTTTATTGTTGGTACTCACAATTAACCTCGACCTTTAGATGTAAAATTTGGTGGTTGACAATGCTTTACTGATTTATTGAATGGGTTTATAATCTATAAAAAAAATCTTCTTAAACTTTGTAATACACCCGGAACAACCTGAGAAGTGTAAATGGGTTATCTTTGATACAAGAAAGTGACAACTATCCTCTGCTATCAAATTTAAAATCGGTTTATTAAAAGTAATATCATTTAAGTATGTAAAGTTTGAGTTAAATTTCTCAAATTTTGGGCTTGATCAATGACACTCCTCCCAATAACAATATCTTGTTTAACTTGATATTGCTAATGATATTTGTGACCTCCTTATACAGTCTTGTACGTAGACTTTTATGGAAGTGATAATGAATTAAGGCAGGGTAGCATAAAGTGAACACATCAAATCCTATTAGCTTTCGAGTGAGGGAAAGAATCTTTCTCAACGTTGTCATGCATGTGAAAAGGCGGGTGTTGGTGGTGTAAAGACCCAAAAATCTTCCTATTATCATATGGGCTGTCGATTCCAAACCATTGTTGCAAAAATCGGCCATTCTAACCGGTAACAGCCCGGTTAAGTAGGAATTAGCCACTGGCTGGCCGGTTTCGGTTTCGGCCAGTTTTGACGATCGGTCGGGTATTTTTTTAAAAAATATATATATATATATAATTTCAAAAAAAAAGGGTTTTTGGTCATAATGTATTTTAAATGTTTTTGTCATTATGGGAAAAATTAAAAATTATTTTAGCCATGAATATTTATTTTTATATTTTTCCATATATTTTTTTAAAAAAAGTAAACATAACCCTAGGCACATTAAAATTCATTTTTTCATTAATTTTCAATTTCATTTGGATGTGTTTTGTTTAATCATTCTTTAAATATATTTTTCATATTTTATTAGATTTTTAATATTTTTTATATTTTATTTAACATTTTTTTAACCACCCGAGACTTGCTCGGTTAGAACGATTGAACCTAGCGATTTACCGATTAGGCTGGTTGAATCGCTTCCATGTCCATGTACGATTAACCGTTCCGGTTCGATTTTTCCAACCAATGGTTTAAAAAACGGATCGGTGCCCTGGATCGTGCACTCCAAAAACCCATTCGAATCGGTTAATCGACAATCCAAATCTAGAATCAACATCCGGATCGGGAATCGGCCGAATCAATTGGATTCAACCTTAAAAAATTCCAAAAAAATTATTAAAATTCATTATAAATATTGTTTTTTAGGAATCCAGTAAAAAATGGGGCTACTCCATTAAAAACTTTCATTTTTTTGCATCAATATGCGAATATTGAGATGTTCTTTTCCTAGATGAAGATTCTGATCAAACATTTATTAAAACCTAACTAAATACAATATTATACATTAAAATTATAATTATTGGTTTGTGTTTTATTATTTTATCATCATTTTACTATACAAATACGAATAAATTTGAAATTTATCTTATAATATCATATAATTTAAAAATCTAGTTTACAACTATAACAAAAAATAATACATTACATAAAATATAAGATTGGTTTAATAAATTAATAAACAAAAATAATACATTACAACCTAATAACTATAATATTATACACTGTAA